TAACAAACACATTTATTATAAGGCCATAAAAATGGTTTCATTATATACGGAATTATTATATTTAATTCTGAATTGTAACATTAAATAAAATTGAATGTATTTAATCTTGTCTTATATATTAAGATTTTTTTAACTTTTGAATAATTTTAATATTTTAAATATATTTTGTAATCGTGCATCATTGAGAATACTTTCCATGAAAAAAATATTATTAAATATTATAATAATATATTATAAATATTTTTATTTAATCATATATTTACTGAACAATTATTTTGTGTTAATATATAATAATATAAAATTATTTATTAAAGAAAAAACAAAGTATATCATTTAATTTAATTTATTTAAAAACTTTATTTTAAAATTGTTAAACTAATTTTATGTAGTTTCCTATTACAGCTGTGGAATATAAGAATGTGTCTATAAGTTGAAATATATTAATTTGAATCATTGAATTTGGGGCTACAAAACAACAAACATATAATAAGAGGTGTCACGGGTATAGACTACTATCTATATTGCATTTTGAAAATTCCGCAGATACATTTTTTATTACACAGCTATTATTATATCATTATTTTATTTTATTCTTAACTTGTGCATTATATTTCTGTTTTCTGTAATTTTTTGAAATTCATATAACAAAATTTATTCATTTAAATACGTATAAGTAAAATTCATTTAATTACATTGAATTATATTAAAATATCTCTAAATGCAATTAAATACAATTTATTTATATAGTTACACCTGTTACAAATGTTCCTTTTATATTAATACAGGTGAAAAACTTATAGTATATAAATCTTTGTTCGCTTATTTACAAGGATACGAGTGCATAGATTCAATTGTAAAAAGAATGTGTATATATTCTAATTAATATCGAACTGACTTTCTTATAATTATATCATTTAACTTACTTTCTGCGTCCAGGGCACGGCTATTATATTCTTAGACGCTATCTGCACTTGAACATTAGGTCATTTACCTGTCTACGAAATCTATAACACGACGATTTCTTGATACGCTATTGTAACTAGGCGCATATTGAATTAATATTTAATATTTTTTATTGAATATAAGAAAGTAGTGTTTAGATGTTTCTAATCTTATTATATATTTGAAAAGGATTAGTATATTTGAAAACTCTGTATTAAAATAATTTTTGTATTAATAAATGGAACCGATAGATTCTGATAAATAAGTCTATTTGTTTTAAACTTTCAAAGATAACTTGAATGCTTTATTTGATAAATTTCATAAAAAAATAATTATTCATCTCTATGTTCAATTATGAATAATAAACGATTTAATTTAATTTCTATTTGGTTTAGTGTTAAAAAATTTTAATTGTTTAATTTTCATTATTGGTAAAACAATAATAAATAGTAAATGTATGTATGAATCTTTTTTTAAACAGAATTTTTTAATTTTTTTAATTATAATTATAATAAATTTTAATAATTATAATATTATTTTAAATATTAAATGCAATTTTAAAAATTACAATTCAATTTTTGATACTTATTATTAAATGAAAGTTAAAGAGTTTCAAGGAATATCTATCACAGCCATTGTATTTTATAATCTATAATTAGTAAAAATAATGTAAAATTATACTAGTTGTAATTTTATATTTCCTTGGGTATTTTAATGAAGGTTATGTGAGTAGGTATAGAAAGTCTAAAAGAGTATGAATGATATTGAATAATTTAATAATTAGAATCAATAAATTAATTAATTTACATTAATATAAAAATTTTGAATGTTAAAATACAGCATTTTCACATTAGTTGAAAACTTTAAATCACCTCACGAAAATTAAGATTGCATTTAATAGTATTTCATCTAAGAATCAACAAAGATCGTAATTAATAAGATAAATAAAATTTAACATATTTTACAACATAACTTTTAAAGATGTTAATTGTAAATAATTTTTCTTTAATCTTACCTAAAAATTTGTCGAAAACAATTGTATGGCATCGATAAGTTTAACAAAAATATAAATTTTAATATATTATTCTTGTTATTTCTTAGAGTACTTACAACATAATATATTTTTATTATAATAAAAATATAATAATATAGTTTTGATTAATAATGCACAATTTTTACACTCCATTTTTTGATCCTGTGAACTAGTATTTTTCTGTAATCTTTAATTGTGTAAGATGAAACATATAAACTTTATTTTAAGATTTACAGAATTTAATATAAACTAAAGTATTTTATTATTATATTTTACAATATGCTCACACATGTTATAACAGATACAAATATAATTAGCACACTTGTTTTAAATGAGAGATTTTATTTAGATGCATAGGAATTTTTGGATCTTTTATGTATGACGAAAGCCGAGGTGGTTTCGGAGAATAGATTCCTTTTTTTCTATTTTTAGATCGCACTTACTGAAAGGGGCTAAGGCTGCACGGAGCTTCCACGAGTCTTTAGTTTGTATAATAAGGGACAAGCTTATATTGTATTATTAGATGTGTAGATAAGTTCGTCAAAATATTGCAAATGCAGCTGATATATTATTGTAAATATTTATCTTTTGGGCTTTATTTATATTTTGCATGAAATGATTAAATCTTTGAGAACTTAAATAATTTAAATTTCGTAACATGAAATTTCAATTTTTTTCTTTACTATACTACGTCTATGTTGATTTACTTTCATATTGTAGAGCTATATAAATATTATTGATAATACTTTAATATTTAAATTTCGCTACTCCGTGCTTTAATCCATATAATTGATCATTGAAATAATAATCGTTTATATTTCATGTAAAGGATATACATTAAATGTTTATATTTTTGGTTTAAATTAAGAAGAAAACCGTAGAATGAAATTATTATGATATAGAATATTATATTTATAACTTTATAATTTGCGAATTTTTAAATATCTATATAATTGAAGTAAATGAAAAAATAATAGGATAAAGTCGATTATAAAAAAAAAAAATATATAACAGGATCAAGTCAAATTTTATAAAAAAATTAAAAAAATTTTTGTATTAGCGAGTGATACTTATTAGGAAAACATAAAGAAAAATATAAAGAAAAATATAAATAAGTATATATTTACAAGTTATATATAGATATATATAGACCTAAAAATTGATCAATTAAATTTTTTAATAAAATATTGAATGTATAGATTTTGTATAAACAAGTTTAAATACATAAAAAGTTTCATCGATTTAGTTTATTAAGAAAGAAAATGATTGAATGATTTTTATTTATTTAAATTCCATGACAATTCACTAAATATAATACAATATAGTAAAATATCGTAATGCTAACTATTTTTATAATAAATCTGTATAATATTATTACCGACCTAGTAACGGGGTTTATAACTGGAGTAATTACATCATTTTTAACATAAAAACAAAACCGATTCATCGATAATATTTCGAAAATTAATAGAAAAAGCGAATTAACGTGTTCTATTGTTATCAATTACTTTTTTTTATCTCGACCACTGGTAAATTAACATATTGTATTTGCAATCGCTCTCGTGATAATCTTATCGTATGTTTTTTTCGTCCTCTCTGACCGTTCGTGCGGAAAAACAATTGGATACCAACAATTGAATAGTCGGCAGAAAAAAACTCGGGCACAAGTTTATTAATAATAATTCTCACCAATGTCATGTCTCTGCTCTGCGGCTTTGTGACAAATTTGTTGTGCCACCATTACTATATGCGTGTTACGCATATGGCAATTTATGCTACTTTAAATCCCACTTGCGGTATTCTTTCAAATCGAAAGTTGAAAGTCTGCTAAGATTTATATATATACATATATATCTATATATAATACACATGTATAAAAATATAGTTATATGAATGAATTAAGAAGATATTAAAGCTTTCAAGACAAAAATGTATTTACTTTAATTAATTTAATACAGCGATTATCCGTATCTGAAATATAGTTTTGTAAAAAGAATTGACAATCGTGAGTTTCTATTATCAATTAATTACATATAAAACGTTTGATAAACATTGAGAGTTCAGACAAATCGATATTTTTTTGAGAATTCTGAGTTGTTAAAAAAAAAAAAAAAAAAATTTTTAAAAAACCATTTTTTTTTATTTTCTGTAGATCATAAATAATATTATTCTGTTTCTTTTCTTTTTTCATTTATATTTTATTTTTTTATTTTTTACTTTTCTAATTGTTCAATCGGGAACAATTATATTCGTAAATAATCTTTTATCAGAAAGAAGGTATAAGATAAACTACGTATTTACTTATTAATGTTGTAAATACTTTAAAAGTTTCTTTTTACTTTATTATTTAATTTTAACACTTATTTTTGTATGTTTCAGCCGAAAGTAAGATTCATTATTACAAGTTATAAAATATTTGTTGTTAGTTGTACCGATACATATTGTTGATAACATAGGGTTTATCCTTAAATTTGTTAATAATGATTGAGTATAAAAAATAATAAATCTAAATATCGTATGATATTTAAATTGGAGAGTATTAGAAATGTAAAGAAATTATGCCCCATTCTGTAAATTTATTCAATGCGAGATTCGAATATTAAACAAAATTCAGGTGGGTTCGCAATAAAGGGCAAAAAATTAGGCTTCCGTGATCTTATATTTTTGGACAGTAATATAACAGCCCTCGTTAGTAACAGTGCGAATGGCAGCGATTGGCAAGGGCCTGGTCGCGACTGGTTCAACCGATCACTTTTTCGTATTGTCTCCCTCTTCTTTGTCTTTCTGTCTGTCTGTCTCTCTCTCTCTCTCTGTCTCTGTCTCTCTCTCTCTCTCTCTCTCTCTCTCTGTCTCTCTCTCTCTCTCTCTCTCTCTCTCTGTCTCTCTCTCTCTCTCTCTCTCTCTCATTCTTACTTGCTTTCTCTCAACGTCCTGCTCTCATGCTCGCAGCGCGGGAGACGAGCGTGAGTCAGTCGCGTTCGCCGACTCGAAGAGTTCGCACCGCGTGTAGAAGGACTGCATTGGTGAACGCAGCCGTGCGCGAATGTACGTTGATTCCAGGATCGGTTGGAAGACCAAGGATACGGGACAGAGCCGCGAAGTTAGGAGAGAATAAGGGAGCAAGCACTCGTGCAATAATCAAGAAGAGCAGAACTTCCGAGGTCTAACTAATAAAGCCACGGAAGCAGGTAAAACCGGATTTCAGGAGAGTTGTGCATGCACGCAGGCGCGTATGTATAGTTGCATGCTTGCCGAATAATGGCGCCGTGGCACGTATTGTTGTGCCGGCGAATATACCAAGTTGTGCGCTCTATGTACATCCTATTATTCGCGACTTAATTTAATTTTAATTTTTGTCCTTTGTTATTGTTTTATTTAAACAGGTAATTGCATTTTACATAGTTGTGTATATGTGGTGGAACGGGTAAGCATATATCGAGTTGTAGATAAGTACTGGTTCAAGTGTATATTTTTTTTATTTTACTCGTGATCGTAAAGAACGAATGTATTAAAGGTCCCATCATTATATTAAGGTATTTAATTTATTCGATAATTAGCTTATATCATCTATATATATATATATATATATATATATATATATATATATATATACTGTTATTGATTTATTCACGTTTCTATTATGTTTAATTTTGTAAAAACAAATGTAATATTTTTAATAAATCGTCAAAGTTACCAGTGATATACCATTTGCCAAATACTTACGGTACAATTGTAGTACAAAAAGATTCTTGTATTAAAAATCATAACAAACGTAATAATATTTAAAATGAATAAAATTCGATTTTTTAATTATTTATTTACAAATTTGTTAATACTAAATTATTTAATATTTTGATGGAGATGAAATATTACAGAAACAACTAAAATGCTAGAAGCTTATTTTTACAATTATTATTAGTGTACTATTAATGTTTTATTTTATGCATTGTATTATTATATTACTACACTCTATATTTGAAACAAATATCTATAAAATAGTTTTTCAATATATGTAAATTTACATCAATTGCTGAAATTTCAATTCATAGTAAAATTAATTTACTATTAAGTATTAATCCTTATTATTCTTACAAAAAATGTATACTCAAACACATTCAATTTTCATATTTTAAACGTTTACATACTTATATATTTATGAGTAGTTGGAGAAATCGCGTTGAAATATCAAAGCTAGAACTCATATTTTTCGTGTTGTAGTTACGTAGATAGAATAAATTGTATCTAGTATATGTATATAAATGAACTTATATTAACTACTGAACTTTAACGACCGACGATGGAGACTAATGATTGCGTTAAATCAGCATGAGCGATAAATATACACACATATTTGTCATGTCAATATAGAATTTGAATACCTGAGTTATCGACGATAAGGATATAAAATCATAAACATTTTAACTAATTCTCGATATAAATTAAATTAAGGAATAGTTTAATAATTAATGAAAAATATTTCTGTTCAATTCAAAAAATTGCTATGTATGCTCTGTTATAAAACATTAACAAGTAATTAAATACTTTTATATAAAACCTTTTTAGCAAAGCCATTATCTTTAAATTTTTAGTTGTAATAAAAAAAATGTACCTGAAATGTATAAAATAATAATGATGAAAGAAATTATTTAACATTATGTTTTTTTTAAATTCAATATTTTTTATTAATTTACATTAACTATATATTTACTTATAAAATTAATTATTTTATTTTAGTATATATATATATATATATATATATATATATTCCAAGATTGTAAAATTTGACACGAAACTATTGTTTAAATCTACGTATATTAAATTTTTATCTGTCATTAAAATTTTATAGATTCATTCCACTAATCATAACAAAACTCGTTTATTTATATTCTTTTCTCTTAAAATAAGAATTTACCGATTAACTTTTTATTGGTACTTTTATAACGTTTTAAATAAATAAAAAATGACTGTGATTTAAAATAATATTTATTTTTAAACATTCTTTACATCATTAAATTAGAAATATTTATTTTATTTTATTAATAATATCTTATAAGATTTACGAATAGAAAAATTAATTTATTATAAAATTTAGGTTAGGCTTATTGATAATAATCATTAGCGAATTTTTACGATTGAACTTTTGTGATATCTTATATTTATTTATTGTTAGTATAGTGCAGCTAACACTGATACAAATAATATGTTTAAAATAGAAAGTAGTGTATTAAGTATGAAATACAAATTTAAAACATAGTAAAAGTGTTGAGAATACGAATAACATTAATGACAATATGTCGAAATTCACTATATTATTTTATGTTTTTGTATATTATTTAAATCAATAAAAATATATCTAGATTTATTAGCGTATACAGAAATATAAATAAATAAATATTTGTTTGTCTTCATGTATTGGTACAGAGTTGTTTAGAAAATTAATTTTTTATCTACTTCATAAGATTGAAAATATATAAACATCTAATCGAATATTCAATAAAGTTTATTTATATATATAATAATCACTATGAATAAGTAATTATTATTCTAAAATATATAACTAATAACCGTAGAACTTGTTTGATATTAAATATATTTATATATTTAAAAAATATGTTTTATGCATTATAAATTATAACATATTAAAAGTAGTAATATTTCAAAAATTGTAAAGAATAAGCAATATTGCACTTTTTATATTAATCTCATAAAACTCGCCAAGACTGATGATTACTCATTTTTATACTTTTAAAATATAAGCATATGTATCAGTGAAAGTATATTCTTGCTAATGTTGTATCGATTGCAGTTACAGGCAATGTTGAGAACTTCCTTTTCAAGAGTTTCTGATGAATATTGTGAATTTAAAGGGTTCATTGAGTAGCCGTAGCGTGCCGTTAGTTTTATGTTTTTCAATTTTAAAAATCTGTAAATTATTCAATTGATATTATGTTTATATAATGATATTATTAAATTTTAATTATTATGTTTAATTATTAAGTTTTAGTAAATAATAAAATATAAGTATTTTATTTGTAAAATAAATTATGTAACTTAATATTTTCATAGTATATCTAATAAGTATTCTATTAGGTAATTTTTATTATTTTATAAACACAAAGAAAATTGAAATTTAATTAAATTGCACAAATTATAATTCAAATGGAATGATAGAGTTAATTATTTGAATTTGATTCTTATTAAGATAAGAAAGTATTTGAGTTTAAAACTGAAACTTTAAATTAATAACCTCTAAGTGATCTACATGAGAGTTTTAAACAACTTCTCGTTGCAAACATTTTTTTGTATTAAATTATTTTGCAAATTTTATTAAATTTTTGCGTTAAAAAAAATATTTGATAAAATTAAAAATAAATATTTAAAAAACTATTAGTTTTTTAAAACTATATAAGATATATAATAAAAAAAATCAAACTTAAATATTATGTTTTTAAAATAAATATATTAAAGATAGAAAATTTTTAACGGTAATTAGTTTATTATTTTATTTTTATACTATTATAATAAAAATAAATAACAATAACATTTGTATTTAATTTAATCATGTTTATAAAAAATGTAAAATCATGAGGGTAAAATTGCTAATTCATCATTTACAATACTTCAATCAATTGTAAAATAACAGAAAGTGGAAAGTGGTCTAAAAATAAAAGTAGAAAGATATAAGCATTAATGTATTTTCATAAAAATACCATATATAACTTAAAAAATGATGAATATGAAGATCTTGTAATTGATAAAATTTGCTAAGTGATGATTATTACCAAGAGATAACAACTTAAAATGTGTAAAGGTACACAAATACAATGGTTACTCGTTTTATTATAACTTAATTATACTGACATTCCTTCTAATATGATCTAATATTCTAATATAATAGACATATTTATTTTTATTTTAAAACAGTAGACTAATAATAGTAATGTTTAATAAAATTATTAAGTTTCTTACTTATAAAAACATCTGAGAAAATGTAATTAAATACAGTCACAAATATTAACGCATTATTTGTTATATAAAGTTACGTGTTTAGATGAATAGACATTTAGGAATAGTTTAAAATATTTAGAAGTTTTACTATTTTCCAACAAAAAAGCAGAAAGAAATTGATAATATTAAATTGTTACAATTCAAAGTTCAATAACGCATACCTATAGCAACAGTCTAAATAACAGTATTATTTATTTAAATTTTATTTATTAAGATTAACATAAAGCTGCTATAGAATCATCCTATATATAGATATATATAGGATATATATAGGATATCTATATATATATAGATATATCATCCTCCATATTAAATATTATACACTAAACAACTTGTAATGTATTGAGCTATACAGTATTTTATTACTATACTCACATATAAACATATTAAATTAAAAAACGTTATAACTTTTTATTGATAAATATGCTGAAATAAAATAGTATGTTTATTGTTCTTGAGATAAAAACTGTTTATTTCATAAGGCTCTATACATTAATTTATTATGTCTTTTTTTATAAACGGGATATAATATTTACAATTTATTCTAGAAGTAACAAAAAATAACAATTCAATATTCTATGCTATTTATAATATTATATATTATATAATATTTTATTACTTTATATGGTTATAAAATAAGAAAAAATAATTTAAAATAATTATTAAAATCTTGTTAGGGACATGCCTAATAATATTGTAATTTATTGTAATTTTTAGAAAGGTTGTATAAATACTTTTTACTTTATTTTATGGAGAATAGTACATGTTTCAAGAAAAATATTTTTCATAATTATTACTTTGAGGCTGTTATGATTTAATTTTTCAAAAAAGCTTATAACTGATTTTATTTTTTAAGCATAAATCACGAGATTATTTTAAAAAATTATTAAAGATTTATTTTATGAATTTAACAAGTTATTTTCAACACTAATGATAATGAACAAGTCATCAATAGATTAGAAAAATATAAAAGTCACATAAAATAAAATTATTGTTGCAAGAACAAATTTATTACCTCAGAATTTTTTATATTTTAATAAATTTATTTTAAATAAATTTGGAATTATTTATTTGCAATATTTATATTAAATATTTCTATATGCAATATGTATATATATATATATATATATATATATAATGTATATGTGAATTTTCATAATAAACATGTAAAAATTTACTT